CCAACAGACAGACCACCTTCTAACGCTCTCTACCAAAAAGCCCTCTTTAAAATTAACAATCATATTCTGTCACATACTGAGTACACATTATCTCCACCATAACTACGCATATCTACAAGCTTTATGGGGTCTAAAACGCAATATGACCATTTATAAGTTTCTTTTTTCCCATCACAGTCAGAGCTGCACCTAGTGTGTAGTTTTTATTATTAAATTAATCATTTTAAAGGTAAGTGTAGCACTCCTTTTTTTTCCTGTGCAAAACTCCCCTCAGATCCGCATGCCGCCGCGCGTAGCCGAGGAACCAGGTATACCCTAAAAAGGAAAGCCGTGGTACCCCGATGTAAGAGTAGCACTCCTGTTTTAATAATTTTAGCAATTATAAAAAAGCAGTTTCACTTTAAGCGCCTAACGAAAATTGAATAACATATTTCTAAGACATAACTATATAATTTATTAAACTTTTCCTTTAAGCATGCGGCTTATGTTTACAATTATAAACTGCCACAGGTTTTCAACCACACAGGATCCACCATCATCTCTGCTGGGCATATGCCTCTGCTTAGAAAGAAGGTTCAAGAATCTCTGATGGATTTATTTGTTCGATAAATGAATAATTATTTTCGACTTCACCTTTCTCTATCTATTTCTAGGCACGTGGCAGTCTGGCCAGCGAAGTTCAAGAATAAAGAACGGGCGCTGTAACAGTTGTGACATTACAGGAGTCATTCGAAGGCATGTTCGAAAGCTTCATAGGAGCCGTAGAAGCAACCGGGACAGTCACTTAGTATCAACTCGTTAAAACACAGAATTCTGGTAGCAACTAACAAAACAGATTTTGATTTTAAATTATGTGGCTTGTATGACACAGCGCGTGCTAGCGCGTCTATACATAATGTATACAATATCATATAAACGGCAGCAGCAAACTCGCGGCCTCGCGCATCCACCGTCACTGCTCGGACAATCGTGAGACGAAGAGTATTTACAAATTAGCTTTAATTTGCTTAACACTGTAAAAATATGTATTTCTTCAAAATATTATATACCAGTTAAATATACAGCTCATTTACTAATAATTTACGATACTAACATCTACATAGAATTTATGGCTTCTGCAAAAATTCAAGGGGTTTGATTGCAATGAAACAAGACGATTTACTTTTGAAGATTAAAAATTAAAATTAAAGTATTTAAAAGTATTTTAGTTTTTTTTATGGCATAAGGGGGCAAACGAGCAGACGGGTCACCTGATGGTAAGCAACTACTGCCGCCCATGGACACCTGCAACTCAAAAGTCACAAATGCGTTGCCGCCCTTGGAGTACCTCCAGCTCGAGTCAGCGGGAAGGGGGATTTGGGCTCCGGTAACCTTACTCACTCAGTGAAAGGCAATGAAAGAATTGTTTCACACCGGTTTGTTGTCACAATCTACTTCATTTCTCTTTAGTAGTAGCCCACAGCATGTTATATAGTGTATCTTATCTCTCTACAAATAGTTTGTAGTATTCTCTCAAGGTTAATTTATAACTAGAACAGTGGTTTAGTTATATACTCGTACAGGTGAAAAAGAGTTCAATTAGAGGCATTGTTTCTGTTTTCGGCAATAAGAGAACTTCGGTTGCCTACGGTTAATCGATTCTAGCTAATTTAGTTAGTTTAAATTTCAAAAGTAATACATGGTTACCTTGAACTATCCGTCCAAATTAACACAGAAGGATCTTTAGTAAAATGTATGAGAAACCCGCATTTTAGTTTAGTATCACATGGTACAAAAATATTGAGTGATTAGCATCACAAAGTTGTCTCAAGAGCTCGCAATTTGTAGACACACTGCTATCGGTAGGCGCGCAAGTGTTAATGGCCTCTCCATCGGGAACGGTTGATGATGTTGGGAAGTTAAATTAACATCAAATATCTTTGTTTGTTACAGGTTATTGGGAAATCTCATCAATCTAAGGGTGTTGGAAAACGAGACAACCCACGATTAAAAACCAAGTACATCTCAGGTCTCAACAATTCTTAAAAAAAAACAGTTAAAATTGGCAGCATCATACTTGATTCCAATTCGAACTGGATTTTATTCTCTTCTATGAAATTTATTCTATTCTATGTAAAAAGATTAAATTGTGTAAAAGTCAACAATTAACATACAACAATTAAAATGTAATTATGCTCTAAACAAAACGATTGTTTAAGTCTTAAAATTACAAATGTTTATTTTTTTATCCTTTTATTTTCAGGCCTTATCACGTTATATCATACATGTGATAAGGCCATAAAGCAACGCGATTACTATGTATACTGGTAACCACATTTATAGTTTCATGTTAGACTTCCCTGTGTAATTAGGTATTTACGTTTTTTACATTAGGTTTATTTTGTGATACCTTTTTACTTTTACTGTACTCGTCAATACTTGCCTTTAGTAGTCCACTGCTGAACATAAGAACTGCCTCTCCGAAGAAATTATTTTTTGGCCTACTAAACTAAACTGGCTAGAGGGTTTGTTTCAAGATTTCCTTCTCTTTGCAGTGCTGTTTTTCCTGCTTAATGCTTGGCCTAGGTTCTAAGCCTCTCATCATCACCATTACCATTATCTTCTTACCCTCATTTCCTTCTTCCATAATTTATTTGGGGTCGTCGAAATGAAATATTTTCTTCCATTCTAATTGATCACTCAACATCACGCACTGCTTCATTTCAAAACCAAATGGTTATGGTTTTTATTTTTGGCCGGCGTCTGACAGGCGCTAACCGCCTTGGGTATGTAATCTTTCTTCGCACATAGTATGAAGCGAAAGATATGTGGAATTTCCGAACACCCAGGGTTTATCCTACTGTCAAAAAGCCCTCTATTGGAGAAATCGATTCGCACACTAATAAATACAGTTTATGCGAATCGAACACTAAAAGATATTAATTTTGAAAAGATCATTTCGCACAGTGTGCGTAAAAATCTGTATAAATCGACCGTCAAAATTTGAGCTGACTCAGTACAGAACTTTTTTTATTTTTGGATCGTACACAAACCAACTTAACTTTTATATTTACATAATATGTATAGATAAATGTTAAGTTGGTTTGAATAGATTTACAAAATGTACTATTGGTGAATTAGCAAACTACTGATTTTTTTTTATTGACTGCACGGTTGGCGTGGTGGTTTAAGTGGTCGCCTACGCTGACGTATGGGGATGAGTGATGTGACGTATGTGTGTCGTCCCATGTGGGGATCGAACTCACAACACTCAGCGTAGTTCAGTACTTTGTGATCCACAAATTGCTGTTCTGAGTCTGGGTGTTCTTTGTGTCCGTTTCATGTATGTTTGTAAAGACCGTTTCGTGTATGTTTGTAAAGTCGCGGGAGTTGTCTTTAAAAAAATATATTTAAGGTGGTCTACTAGAAATAAAACATCACAAGATTGCAAGGTTGTGCTGCAAAAAAAAAGACAACTCATGAAAGAGAAACTGAACAAACATCCATACATATATTTAGGAAAAATAGTAATACAGAAAAACTTGATATTTACATTAAAAGTAAATGCAGGTTCATCAAAATTGCTGCGAAATGAAATGTCCCTAAAGATGCTAAAGACATAGTCACTAGCTATTTGTGCTTGATATAAGTAGAGTACTCTTGAAACGATTTCAGTCACTTTTCAAGTATTCTCAATCATGCTCGGAAGTTTATTATTATATACGGCGCTTACTCTTCTACTTATAACTATCTGCTCTATTTATGCATATGTTAAGAAAAGACTCGTATACTGGAAAAAGAAAAAAGTTCCTTATGAAAAGGCAGTGCCAATTATAGGAAACTATTGGGGTTATATTCTGTTCCAAAAATATATCGGCCATATTCTTCAAGATCTCTGCCAAAAGTTTCCAAATGCTCCCTACTTTGGCGTCTTTTTTGGGACAGAACCCGTCATGGTCGCTCAAGATCCTGAAATCATTAAGTTAATTATGACAAAAGATTTTAACTTCTTTAATAGTCGGGAACTCGCGACATATTCTGATCGAGAAATGTTAACTAAGAATCTTTTTGGATCTTATGGTGACAAGTGGAAGCTTTTCCGTAAAAATCTCACTCCTTTATTCTCAACGGCCAAGATGAAGAACATGTTCTATTTGATTGAGAATCATTCTCAAATATATGAAAATCTACTCGACCAAGAAACCAAGACATCTGATGTGATAGAAGTGACTTCTCTTACGGCGAGATTCACACTGGATTGTATATGCTCTTGCGCTTTTGGTGTACATACGAAAACGATGGAGGAAACAGAAAATAATCCATTCAGAGCTATAGGAGAATCGATTTATCAAACGCAATATTTTTACGCTTGCAAAGATATATTACGCAATATGTGGCCCGACATTTTCTACGCGCTAGGACTAAAAATATTTTCTAAGAAACTAGAGGCATTCTTTTATAATCTTTTGACAGGAGTTTTTAAGGGGCGTCAATATAAACCTACGACAAAGAATGATTTTGTGGATTTGCTACTGAAGTTGAAGGAAAAACAAGACTTATCTGCAGACAGTTTTGACGGTTTGGAATTCGACGACAATGTTTTAGTGGCTCAATTGTTTCTTTTCTTCGTTGCGGGATTTGATACTTCGGCGGTTACATCCAGTTTTACTTTATATGAACTAGCGAAGAATCTACAGGCGCAAGAGAAAGTTCTAGAAGAGGTAGATGCTTATCTGCGTCGCCATGACAACGTGCTGGAATATGAATGTTTAACGGAGATGCCATATCTTGAAGCATGTATGGATGAGGCTCTTCGTCTGTACCCAGTCCTTGGAACGCTTACTCGTGAAGTCACCCAAGATTATGTTCTCCCTGATGGCGTGAAGCTGGAAACAGGGTTACGGATTCACATACCATTGTATCATATACAACACAACCCTGAGTACTTCCCCGAGCCTGAACAGTATCGTCCAGAGAGGTTCCTTGGTGAAGCAAAACGCAATATCAAACCTTACACTTACATGCCTTTCGGTGAAGGGCCAAGAATCTGTTTAGGTAAGCGTGTTAAGTTTTGCGTTGCCGTTCTTGTTAAACTAAACTTGCACCCTTAAATATCAGTCATTATTCATTCGTTCTACTATCAGAGCACATGACACCATTTTTGAGGTTTTAGCAATATTTAATGTGTAGTTAAAAGGATTTACATAGAGATTTAATACATATATTTTTCTTCTAATATAAAAAAAAAGGATCAATTTCAATTGTTTATTATATTCTAAGTAAACATTTTATGATCAATCTGAAAGTTTTATCCACTTTAAGTTGGTAATCTAGATTTTGTATTCAAGTTAGCCCATTCTCTTGCGAATTCAATTTTCCTATAGTCCCATTCAAAAGATTTCTGTACTAAGAACAGAAATTTCGTTTTTTTTTTTTCGAATCATATAAATACACAATACAATTTGTTAAAAATAAAGGATACAGCCTTTATTTTTAACAAACTGGAACCAAAGAGGTTACTCTTCGCAATATGTCTAATTATATGTTTAAAATTTATCTTAATAATTAAAAAAACCTCAATGCAACTTATAATAATATTAGTAACCTTTATTATTTAATATTAAGATGTACTTTAAAGAAGTAATGTCAGTAAACGAGGAGGAGACAATGACATTAGTCACAATTAGTGTGTCTTTGACTAGGTAAAGCTAATCTGACGCGGGCACTAAACATGTCAAAGATTGCAACATAATGAACTCTATTCTCTTATCCCCAGGTATGAGATTTGCAAAGATGCAAGTGCTTTCTGGCCTGATCACCGTATTGAAGAAGTACCGTTTGGAGCTAGCGCCGGGTATGAAGAGAGAAGTGAAATTGGAACCTAAATCGTTTGTCACGCACCCTATTGGCGGGATTCAACTCAGGTTTATTGAAAGAGAAGGGTGGAAAGATCGAATGTTTCGGTCTTCTAAGTCTAAGGTCCCATCCTAATATCGGTTTTCTGCTCAATATACTGTCTATGTTAAAATAGAAATATACGTTATTGTTTACATAATCACATTAAAGAAATTTTTTAACCGACTTCCAAAACACAAAAGAGGAGGTTATCAATGCGTCTGTATTTTTTTTTGAATGTTTGTTACACGATATCTCCGTCAATTTGAATCCGATTTTCACAATTCTTCTTGTAATCGAAATGGTATGCTCCCGAGGTGGTCCCATTACCACCAAATCAGGATCTGTTGATGGGATCCTAGAGAAATCGAGGGAAACCCTCAAATTTTGCAGCCCTGACAACGTGTTTTAGCTTATTTACCCAGCTTTATAGGTATTTGCGTTAAGTAGTTGTTATGTCATGGTGTTGAGCTGATGATGGAAGGATCCTTGACGTTTATGTTTATGACTTATTATAGAAAATAACTCTTTAAAAAATTTAAACATGTATTAACCTTGTTTTATTCTTTCAGGAAATTTGTTAGGTGTTTGTGTGGGGTTACAGAGATAGGGGTTAATAAAAATGCGATTACAAAACATTTAGACAACAAAAGTTTGCTACACAGTTATTTTCATGTTTCTTACTTCAAAACTATTTCAGTTATAAACCCATTCGGAAAATTATTTGGAATTATAATTATATTTTCGATTTAGTTCCATTCAAATGTGACCAAAAAGAATTCAGCTCCTAGTTTTGGGGAATTAAGTAATGTGAAAAACAATATATTTTCTGGTTCAAATGTACTCTGACTACTTTATCTAAGTAAAGTAACGGACTTATAAAACTATATTTAATATAATCTAACATACTACAGTTTGGTACTATACAGTACGGTAAGTAGTGTTTTAAATATTGTACTTATTTACTTATTACAAATATATCTTACACTAAAAATGGTACAATAAATCCTTTTAAAAAAAGTTGAACTGACTTCAAACAATACTGAGGAAGAGCACAAAAAATTGAAAAATAATAACAAATCTAAGTAAAAGTAAAAGGATTTATTACCTTTAACATTTTGATAGATAGGTTTGCAGGTCGTACTCGAACCGACTTAAACCACACGGACGTGTTCCATCATAGTAATCCCTTGTACGGCTTTGTCCTTAAACCAGTAATAGACCTTGGCCACCTTGGTCGAAAAATAATAAGCAATCTCACAGCGTATGCACAGGAACATCTGCCAATTGTGGATATGAAACACCTCTTTCATAAGATGATTCACCATATTATGCGTTGAAAATAGTTTAAAAGAAAAAATAATAAATAGCATTTATAGATATTGATAGGTCTAGTTACGCAAGTCTTACTTATTCTCTCTCTCAGTCCGTGTGATGATAGATTAAAAATACGGAGTGTCACCACCCCTTTTCATCCCGTGGGTTTCGTAAGAGTCAACTAAGGAACCAAAGACAATACAACAACAATGGGTGAGCAGTACAGTAGTCGCATATGACGTGTAACATTAGACAGTACCGTGAGCGCTCATTACCCAAATTAACAAACAACACTCAGTGACGTCGGAAGCACCGAGGTGACCGCTGAAACCACTAAGACCACTGAAGCCATCCGTGCAATCAATCGTTACACACCTCCATCCCATTCCCACAGATTAAAGGATAGTGAGAGGTAGGATGTAACACATCAAAAATATTGTTGTAAAACTGTTTGAAATCATTACGGCTATTACAACAAATTATTAAATGCATTGCGTGTTGCAAAATATACCACTTATTCTCAGTGACTGTCAGAATACTTTTAAATCTTTGGCTGATTTAAAAAAAAAGTGGGTTGTAGAACATCAGAAAGGAGTAGGTTCTTTGTCCATTCATGTGATTTCACCTTTTTTTTTATATTTATATAAAGACAACCCCCGCATTAAGAATATATCCTGTGTCGCGGGAGACTTTACAAACATACATGAAACGGACACAAAGAACACCCAGACTCAGAACAACAATTTGTGGATCACAAAAAATGTCGTCCTATGTGGGGATCTGACCCACAACACTCGACGTAGTAGTAAGCGGCGTGGTGACCGCTTAAACCACTACGCCATTCGTGCAGTAACCGATATTTTAGGTATCTATGGTTGAAGTTTTTTTTTGGATTTAAGGTATGCTACAGTGGTTATCCCACTGTAACCAAGCTCGGGTCTAATGATGCGATTCATCAATCAAGAAAACGAAGAAAAACCTTTAGAAATTTCAGGCACATGTTTATTACATGTGCCTTAATTTTCTAGGGGTTAAAGTATGAAATTACCGTTTTATAGTAATGGATACTTCGAATTGACATAAAACCTTCATGGTGTGAGATTTTCGTGTAAAACTTTTTTCACATGATCCCTATGAGGCTTTTCTATCTACTATCGATTTTCGACTTTCAATTTGTTTTTTTTTTATTGAGCTTACACGTGAAAGATGGATACTTCTTAAATCCGAGTCATTTATGAATAAGAGTTCCAACGCAAAACTAACGCGGCAGAAATGCATCAACGCTGCGTTTGGAGAGGAGACTGCTAATGAACGCACTTTTTTGGTTTAAACTCTTTCGTAATGGAAACTTCAGCTTGAAGAACAAACCACGTGGAAGACCAACAGGTAAATACACCGGTAAATAACGGTAAATTGAAGAAGAAGGAGAATATGCCTTGCACAAGAATATCAGTGCGAGTTGTTGGCCTTGTAACGGCCTAGATAGGTGCACTATAATAATATATCTCACACACGGCCGTCTGATCCCAAACTAGGCAGAGCCTGTACTATGGTAACCAGACTGCTGATAAACGTACTTATATATTTTTAAATATGTACATATTATAGATGAATTACACCCAGACACAGAACAAATGACCGTGCTCATCACACAATGTTTGTCCTTGATGGGAATCGAACCCACGACCTTCGGTTTAGCAGTCAGGGTCACTAACCACTAGACCAACGGGCCCGTCAAAAGCACATAGCACATAGAACCTTAAGAGTTACCTTTTAAAACAAGCTGGAAGCTTTTGTTGGGAACAAAAGCGTTCATTCCAATTAGATATCAAGTTTAAATATCTATTGGCTACTGTCCCCAACTACGCTCCAGTATTAGATTCAACCAACAAAAAGCCGTGTGGTGTCGTGGGACACCCGATAGGAACGAAGTTGTTACGATCGAGTAAAACTGATTAGACACGATTTTAATTACAACGCCATCTATGAAAGCGGCTATTACCTACATATTTTTCAGTTGGTTTCTAATTAAAACAATTTATACATTGGTAAAATCTCCTTGAGAAATGATGTCGAATACAATATTTTTTGCTCAACCTAAGAACATAAATTTTAATTTTACTATTCGATAGATGGCGCTGAATGACTGACAAGTGACAAATCAAAATAAAAAGTGTCGTGACCAATTTTCGTAAGATTTTTTTCCGTCTAGCCCCCTTACACAACGCGTGATAAGGAACTTCGTTCCAATAAACCCTCAGAATACAAACTTTTAGCTTTGCACAACCAATCTGTGGAGCAGATTGTTTTCAGCGGTATTACCGGACCGATACGACCTCCTAACCTTGAAGAAAAAAGTGAACTCTTGTGACTTCTGAGTTGCAGGCTTTCATGATTTCCCATCTTCTCAAATATCATTTATATCATTATAAAACTAATACTAGAAAAAGGGAGTGATTGCCATAATAGAATGAGTAGTATAACACTAGCTGTGCTTACAATCCTCACTGAGAAACTCAACTTCACCTCAATCTCACTCACATGAGAAAGTGCCGTGTGCACTGGATATACAAATATTGTAACCTTTATATATTAAAAATGTGAAGTCTGTTTGTGTACGCTCAAAAACTCAAAAAGTGCTGCTTCGTTCGAGTTCAAATTTTGACACGATATACAACCCGCTTCAAAGATTGTTTTTATCTTTTTTTTCGACTGGGTGGAAAATCCCTTCGGATCTCCTGCTCCTCGGGGATTCAGGAGCTAGGAGTATGTGGTGATTCAACTAAAAACCACTCCGACGGCCGGCCTCAGGTGCCCACTCTGGGAGGACCTGGACAATGTTATTTCAGGTCCTCACCGAATTGACACCATGCCTAATCAGGCCCTATCCCAGGAGAAAAACACTTCCCCTCTCAATCGCTACGTGGCGGCCCAATTTCGTCTTAATGCAATCAGGCCGCCATCCTATCCCCTACCGCAGCATTCAATCTGCCACCAGAGGTCCCCACTCTCTGGCGGCCCGCGGCCCCGTCGGCGGCTGGTGTGGTCGCCAACGATTGATTTTATCTGTTTTTCAATGTAATCAAAATGTGCCACAGCGAAGCGCGGCAGGTTGAAACTAGTTTTAAACAAATGATGACGGTGCATTAGTATTATTTGTATAATTATAAAAATTACTGTACACTTGTTTTAAAGTATAAATGAGAATAGATTTATGTATTTATGATCGATAAATTCTGAAACATTTGAACCAATTTCAAACATTATTTTTCTAAATTTTATTTCAAAGTAACATTATCTGTATGTTCTTTATGGAAAAAAGACAAATAAAATTCTTCAACAAAAAAACACCTAACTCTACTGTGAACAGTCTGCTCATCATATCCTCTGGGAATGTACTCTTTGGTATAAAGAACGTAATATAATGCTGAATAGCTTGCAGGTGACATCTGGGGCGGTATACTATGGGGATCTTGTGTCAACTAGGGTGAATTTCCGTGCGTTTCGGAGGTTGTGGCATACATATTATAGAAATCAAATATAGCTCACTTAGGACCCATAATATTTGTGGCCGTGGTGCTGCCCTGTTTAAAAGGGTGTATGCCTATTTATATATTGTGAAGAAGCCACAAGCATCAGGAGGAAGTTTTCGAAGAGGTGCGTCGTGATAACATGTGATGTGATGGAATATGATTGTTTAATATCCCAGGACTTCAACACTTTTCAGAACAATATTAGTCCGATGTCGGTGCTCTTTAGCTTTTTATAGTTTTAGGCAGTTTTAGGCCTGTATTATAGTAACCAAACTGTTGATAAAAAAACTTATAAATCTGGAAGCGAAGGTGAGTGAATCGCTCAGAAGCAGCGTGGAGAAAGTTGGCAGTGTGTCGTGATACAAGTGTTACGAGTTCGAAGCTATGTACGAAAACATAGCTGAGGCTCTGTCTCGTACCAACACGGTTGTCATGGGCTACTACGAGTACAATGCGAAATCGGGAGTACAAGAATATGGCGAATCCATGGTAGGACCGTTCGGTTACGGGCATAGAAACCACCGGGGGCAAATCCTAGTAAACTTTCTCGAGGCTCAGGGGCTCTATCTGATGACTACTTTCTTTCAAAAGATGCCCCAAAGGAAGTGGACCTGGCGAAGCCCCGATAGTGTGACTAAGAACGAGGTCAACTTCATTATCACAAAAAAACGCCAAATTTTCAGGGATGTCTCTGTGATCAACAAGTATAATAGGCACCCTGACTTTCTTAATTAGAACAGACCGACGCGCTTGATGAAGGCTACTCTGGGGCCAACTCTGCCTCACGTTGAGGCTGGATGTGAAGGCTATCATCCTCAACTTCGGAACCGGTTCGCCATTTTGGAAACCTTGCGGAACAGCCTGGTACGTGTGGTCCATGAGGTTTCATAAGGGCATTGGGCGCTAGTCGAAGCTCCGGAGCGAGCGGAAGCGAGGCTCCGGATCTGATGAAATCTGAATAAAAGACGAAAACCGTTAAACGCCACACTATCTGAGCGGCAGGACCTTAACAGGGTAAAGAGGCTAGTAATACGAGATATTCGATATTCAAAGACTCTAGCGATTGCTAAATATAAAAAGCGAGCGCTAAATAGCGCTACTATCGAGGTTCTGCAAGAAAGATCTATCTAAAGAAACTATCCGACGTTTAATGAGCCGAGACGTAGACACTCACTGTTGGACTAGTCCACAAGTTCAAAATCGCTCGGCCTGCGATGCTTGGTGTTTTTCTAGTCGATAAAATTCGAAACGAAACAATTCGACAAAAAAACTGGAAACTGGAATCAGTATATTGAAGTGGAAGTGGGCCGGTCATGTCTCCAGGCGGACTGATGGTCGCTACAACCGAACTTGTGCTAGAGTGGAGACTGCGACTAAGCTAATGTAGTGTAGGGCGCCCTGCGGCACGATGGACCAATGACTAGAAGAAAATGGCTGGCAGCGAATGGATACGGACTGTCCAAGACCGGGATGGTTGGCGCTTTTGGGGGAGGCCTTCGTTTGGCAGTGGATTCAATAGGCTGAAGTAAGTAAGACACAGAACAAATGATCGTGCTTGTCACACAACTGTTTTTCCTGGGTGGTAACCCAAACCCCTCTGGCTTCATCGAAATCACTGCATCGAATCACAAGTCCATCAAAAAAATCAACATACATACATATATTATTGAACTTAAAATGAAATCTTTTCAGTCATAATTTTAATAGTTATGCTCTTTACAAAAAGCATGTTCAAGTCTTACAATTACATATGTGTTTAATTGTCTTTATCCTTTTAAATAATTAAGCCTTATCGCGTTATATCATAAGTGATAAGGGCAAAACAGTAACACGATTACTTACAATTTGCCGTTGTTTACAATTATGAGAACTTGTAACCACAACTACAGTTTCATGTCAGACTTTCCCGGGTAACCATTAACTTTTTTTACCTTAGGTTTATTTTCTAACAACTTTTTTGCTTTTACTGATGCTTGAGATGCATCAAATACTAAGGAAAAAGAACGCATTTAGCCAAATTAAATACAGCCTTTATTCCTTCTGGATAAAGACGCCTTACACTGTGAAAATAATTATGTATTGCAGTAGTTTCAAAGTTTATCAGCAACAGAAAGACAAATATTTTTTCTTCCATTTACGTGTAGATTGACAATATGTCAACACACAGAGATCACAAATATTGATTCAATTTATTTTGGAAATGGCCTCTACAAATTCTGTGGTAGCTAAGCAGTCTTTACCTTTTGTGGTATGAAGCTAAGTTCGAAGGGACTTGACCGAGAGTGCTATCAATCTAAACCATTGTAACGAGGAAATTTCAAGGTAGAATTGCAAAACAAAACACTACTGATGAAAAGGAAAAGGGAATAAAAGTACATGCATATAGGAACAATAGCAAGACAGAAACCATGATGTTCATTTTATAAATAGATGTTTTACCGAAATTGCCGCTAAAATAAATGTCCCTTTGATGCCTAACCACATAGTCACTATCTATCTATTCTTTATATAAGTAGTATACTCATAAAACGATTTCAGTCGCCTTTCAAGTATTATCAACCATGCTCGGAAATTTATTAATATATACGGCGCTTACTCTTCTACTTATATCTATTTCCTATATTTATATATATGTTAAGAAGAGATTCGTGTACTGGAAAAACAAAAACGTGCCTTATGCAAAAGCAGTGCCAATTTTAGGAAACTATTGGGATTATATTCCGTTTCAAAAATATCTCGGTCACGTTCTTCAAGATCTCTGCCAAAAGTTTCCAAATGCCCCCTACTTTGGTGTCTTCTATGGCACAGAACCTGTTATGGTGGCTCAAGATCCTGAAATCATTAAGTTAATTATGACGAAAGATTTTAACTTCTTTAGTGGTCGAGAAACCGCGTCATATTTTGAGCGAGAAATGCTAACCCAGAACCTTTTTGCTTCTTACGGTGAAAAATGGAAGCTTTTCCGCAAAAACTTCACTCCATTATTCTCAACAGCCAAGATGAAGAACATGTTCTATTTGATTGAGAATCATTCACACGTATATGAGAAGACACTCGACCAAGAAACCAAGACATGTGATGTTATAGAAGTGACTTCACTTACGGCAAGATTTACACTGGATTGTATATGTTCTTGTGCTTTTGGTGTAAATGCAAAAGCGATGGAGGAAACAGAAAACAATCCATTCAGAGCTATTGGAGAAGCAATTTTCAAACCGCAATATCTTCACGCTTGCAAAGATGTATTACGCAATATGTGGCCAGACATTTTCTATGCTCTAGGGCTACAGATATTTCCAAAGAATCTAGAGGAGTTCTTTTATAAGTTTTTGACTGGAGTTTTTAAGGGGCGTCAATATAAGCCAACGACTAGGAATGATTTCGTGGATTTGCTACTAAAATTGAAGGAAAAACAAGACCTATCTGAAGACAGTTTTGACGGTTTGGAAATCGATGACAATTTGTTGGTGGCTCAATTGTTTATTATATTCGCTGCGGGATTTGATACATCGTCGGTTACTTCGAGCTTCACCTTGTATGAACTAGCGAAGAATCCAAAAGCACAAGAAAAAGCTATTGAGGAGGTAGATGCTTATCTGCGTCGCCATGACAACGTGCTTGAATATGAATGTTTAACGGAGATGCCGTATCTTGAAGCATGTATGGATGAGGCTCTTCGTCTGTACCCAGTCCTTGGAACGCTTACTCGTGAAGTCACCGAAAATTATGTTCTTCCTGATGGAGTGAAGCTGGAAACAGGGTTACGGATTCACATACCATTGTATCATATACAACACAACCCTAAGTACTTTCCCGAGCCTGAACAGTATCGTCCAGAGAGGTTCCTTGGTGAAGCAAAACGCAATATCAAACCTTACACTTACATGCCTTTCGGTGAAGGGCCAAGAATCTGTTTAGGTAAGCGTGTTAAGTTTTTGTTAAGCTTTACTTAAAAGTTTAAATGGTAGTCATTACCACTATCAGAGTATATGACACTATTTTTGAGGTAGTGCTGTAGCAGCGTTATGTGCAGTTATAAATATAATTCCCCAAAGAATGGCTTTAATAAACATTTCTTCTAAGATTTAGATGCACTTTTTTAAGTTATAAGATCAAATTAACGTTTGTTAGATCCAAAAGATTTCTGTATTAAGTTTTATGTGTTATTCGTTAAGTGTAACAAATTTTTTTAAACTTATTCACATTTAAGTTACATTTTTTAAAGTGCGTCCATTTGCCAAAGTGTTCTATCAGTGTTTAGGCGTTCCGCTCAATTTATTACAAACTTAGAACTTAAATGCTACTTTTAAATTACTAGTACAACGGTTATACTAACTATATAAATCAAAAACTATATATAAAAAACTAAATATATCTAAGAAAACATAATAACGTATAACCTCACTATTTCTTGGTATCTACTTCCTTATTTATACACTCGTTTAATTTAATAATATAGTCTCATAAAGGATATTCAAATGACTATGCATAAGTACAATCTATACAAATTAAAAGTGGATTAATAATTCTTCTCTCACAACTAGCCAAACAGCGAAAGAAAAATCTTCTCTTGTAACTGGTTAGGGAAGTCAAGTTACCAAAGTGGAATAATTATTCTTCTCCCACAACTAGTTACCAAACAATGCAAAAAAATCTTTTCTTGTAACTGGTTAGGTAAGTTCAGTTACGAATATGGACGAAGGCGGCAAAGCTAATATGACGTTGGAACTAGACACATCTTTCAAAAATTCCAACATAGTTAACTATATTCTCTTATCCTCAGGTTTGAGATTTGCGAAGATGCAAGTGCTTTCTGGCCTGATCACCGTATTGAAAAAGTACCGTTTGGAGCTGGCGCCGGGTACGAAAAGAGAAGTGAAATTGGAACCTAAATCATTTGTCACACACCCTGCTGGCGGGATTCGAATCAAGTTTATTGAAAGAGAGGGATGGGAAGATCGATCTTTTCGTTCTTTTAAATCTAAAGGTCCTTCTTGATAACTCAAACTTTCTTTATTTCATACAATTTTAAAATTGTTTGAAATCGTCTTTTATGTAGACTCTAAAGTCATAGATCAATACACACAATAGCAACAATTTCTGTTTTTTTTCAAATAGTAAGCAAATAACTTAAATAAAAATTAAACTTATATATAATCTATGATATGCCTGTGTCGATCTAAAACCGCCCGTTTCCAAGGTGTTTCGCCTTATGAGAAGAAAGGGCAAACAAACTCATGGCCACTCTTTTGCAACTTACAGATGGATACAATGGAAGTAATGAATAATATTGTTATGAGACTTCACAGAAAGGAGAGCGTAGCCGTAGCGAGCCTACCAGCTGAATATATCTTTTTTTGGAGTTTTAGAGTTTTTTTCGTATTCCGTAACCTCGTTGTCTGGTCGGTGATGGTGAAGCAATAAATATACTCGTGCTAATAATATCCGAGTTTTATTATTTATTTATTCATCCCACCGATGACCTTTATTGGCTTAAATCAGAGTTGTTGAGGATTTACAACTGAAGTGACTTGTATACTAAATGTTTTTTTAAAGTTCTGGCTACTAATTTTTTTTAAGACAACTGCCGCACTAGGAAAATGTCCTGCATAGCGGGGAACTTCATAAACATACACAAATATAAATAACACCCACACTTAGAAGAACAATTTGTCACATGTTTAAAGAGGAACCCACACTTGACGAAGAGAAACGTAATTTTATAATGTAAAGCATCCCTTAGTAACCTTGTGTAATCATTAAGATAACAAGTGAATCTGGAGTATATTGGCGCGATAATGATAGTCGTAACTACGCTATTGCTATCTTCTTGATTATGACTACACCCACAGTTTTATGTGAGCCTGTCTTGCATGCTCATTAATGGTATTTAAATATTTTTAGATATACATGACAATATTGTCACTTTTAAACGAACATGTTGGTGTTACATATCAATCGTTGCACGTAACGTTGCAGTCACATACCTTTGAAAATTCATATATCTCCCAAAATTAAGGCTCTGGTCTGATTTGGGATTAGTATCATCACCTTTTGACTGACTATCATATAGCTTGGTTGTTGTTTCTGTGAAAGTATAAAGTTACAACAAACTCGCTTTATATAGTTAGGATACCATAAGGAGGTTCTTTACTGCCGTTTCGGAGATGCCGGTTTCAGGTATCCGTGTATCTGTCCTGTATGGTAACACCGAACAATAATGTTACCTCAGCAATTGGCTTACTTTACTTATAAATCATAATTATACCTTCAGTTCACGATTAGCAGTCATCGCTTGTGCTCCCTCGCTCCTTTATATTTTCTTACTTATACTAAATTTATTTTATTAGTTAAACAGCCATTTTATCATCTAGCTACATGATCCGGCTCGAAGGACCAATGTCCTGTAACTAGTATTATATTAAAATATAGATAATCTTTCTTTTATATAAACTTCTAACGAACAAAGAATTATTGAAACGGGATCATTAGTTTCAGACTTTTTCGAATACAAACAACTAATTGTATTCTCTTAAATTAGCTTCATTAATTTTAAAAGAATGCATGCTATCTTCTTCAGTATAATTAACATTCCTGCATGAGATAAGATAGCTGAGTCGCTTTTAATTTTGTTTGATAGTTTAAACAATAATATAATTGATAAACCAACAAGATAAGACGAGAAGAGATTTAAGATATAGTAACTGTTATAATTATACAAATAATAAACGTGCCCTCTCGGTATACATTTACTTATAGTTACAAGGATTTCATTTAATTTTTTTTTAAAGACAACTCTCGCACTAGGAATAAATCCAGTGTCGCGGGGGAATTTACAAACATACATGAAACGGGCACAAAGAACACCCAGACTCAGAACAACAATTTGTGGACCACACAAGTGTCGTCCCATGTGGGGATCGGACCCACAACACTCAGCGTAGTAGTGAGCGGCGTAGCGACCGCTTCAACCACTACGCCATCCGTGCAGTCATTTTCATTTTGAGTACAGAAGCCCCTTTCGCCAAATAAATTTGTTTATTGAGCAAAATGAGCATCGTAAGAACAGCTATTGTTTAGTAACCCATCCCCAATCAAAATAAATAAAACGCAAATAAAATATTTTGGTAGTAACTTTAGTGGTAGTGATTTTTGGTTATTTATTTTTTGGCTAATTAATATTTTTGTAATGTGCTGAGTGAAAAGTACAAATAAAAAAGTCACAAATACTTGTATTATGCAGTCATGTGATTATAAGTTGTGTGTCTGGAAATTGAGACAGTTGTCTCTGTGACGAATTTCATTTTAGGTATAGTACGCGCAACGAAATTGGCTGCAAACCGAATGTTGCGCAGGTACACTCGCAAATAAACGTACTGAGCATACAAATTCATTTTATATACTGTCCGCGTGCATAATTAGGCCAAAAGCTGAATTAAATTCTTAAAAAAACATTCTGAATTAAATTAATTGAATTTTTAACCTCCTTTAAATATAAAGGAAATATAAAGGAGGAACTATATGGTAACTGGTCACGCCACGCAAAACATCATTGTAATAATTCATAATTTAATCTAAATCCTATAGAATAAACACAACTAGACAGAATTTATACACTGTAAAGTTTATACTATATAATTTCCAGCGGAAAATGTTTTAAGATACCTTTTAAGAAATACCAGGGATTACAGCCAAATTTTAATTAGTAAATTTATACTGTGGTAAAGGGCTCAGGCGGGCGAAACCGTACCCATGCTTTATTACTTAGTGTCTGATTTAATTAAACATCAATAGCAAAAAAAAAAAAAAATATGTTAAAAAACCGGTAAAATGCGAATTGTAGGTACATATTATAAATAGTTCAGGAGTCGAGTCCCATAGCTTTTTCCGAGCTTTCCCCGAAATTCAGTTTCCAAAATCTATAACCTCCTATATTATTGTGTTTTATATGTGAAATTGTAGCTCAATGATTGATTACACACTTTAAAAAAATTCTTTTTTTATTTAATTACAAATGTATAAGATTTCAGATTTTTCCCTGTATTTGTAGTTTTAGATGATAATACTTGTCAAATTCCATAGTTTTAGGTCAACGGGAAGTACCCTTTTTTTTTTTCCGTGCGGAAATCCCCTCGGATACCACCTGTCCGAACCGACTAAAACCGCACGCCGTGTCGGGTACTAATAGCCGGGGAACCAGGTATACCCTTGAAAGGAAGTCCCTGGTGCCCCGACATACCTCGGGCCATCTACAACAACAGGTAGACGACCGCCCCCCCCGTGTGGGAACGGGAAGTACCATATAAATTTTGAATACGCTTTGAGTGTCGAAATATGCGTTTTTGCGGCATAAACGGCCGTATCTTTAACTTAGAAGTTGGATTTTTCACAGCTTACAGAGACTGTAGACCTGAATAAATCGTTTTAATTTCAACCTGACACCTCCATGTGTCCCCGTGATAAAAGGTCTTGACAGACAGACGAAAGGACGAACGTACAGACTGACGGACAACAATGGGTTAAGTTTTTTCCTTTTGTGGTACGTAACCCTAAAAACAAGGGCAAATGATTAGAGCTGTTCCATTTCATTTAAATCCGAACTGAGTATTTGCTTTTACTGAACTGAATATACCACTCAGAGACTAAAGTGGACACGACAATTTTTGGTGACCTTGACGTTCCCTGACTGCGATTATAATAGATAAAATGCCTAAATGCAAACAATGCCTTAGAAACAACTTCAAAAATGAAGTTGTCAGAAGAATTTAGTTTGACTACATTCGGAAGAACTACAACGAACTAGATTTTTCTCATAGCTCTTACCGTAATGCATCAAAACGGAGGTTTTCAATTAGTGTGTCGATCGTACATATTATAATCTACGACGTCAAGACGTGAATCCTACGAGGCTAGTTCACAAACTAAAATTTGCTTAGCGTGTAATAGAACGAGCTAAATTCGAAGTTTCTTTGAAGAGAAAAATTCGTAATGAGTTCTAAAGAGAAGCTAAAATGGAAGAATAAGCGAGCGTAAGGCTTGAAAACGCCTGTCAAATCACCGTTGGTCGATTTAGCAAAAGAGTCCTAGAGGGACAAGGACTATACATTGACATGCAAATTTTTTTAGTGTAATATAAAAACAATAAAAGTAGTACATAATCCCTGATCTGTTATACTGTTATCTATTATGCTTATGTTGGAACGAAGTTCCTTATCACGCGTTGTGAAAGGGGGCTAGACGGAAAAAAATCTCACGAAAAGTTGTAACGACACTTTTTATTTTGAATTGTCACTTGTCAGTCATTCAGCGCCATCTATCGAATAGATAGGAAATCATTACTTTTCATCTCAGTAAAATTAAAATTTATGTTCTTAAGTTGAGCAAAAAATATTGTATTCGACATAATTTCTCAAGGAGATTTTACCAATGTATAAATTGTTTTAATTAGAAACCAACTGAAAAATATGTAGGTAATAGCCGCTTTCATAGATGGCGTTGTAATTAAAATCGTGTCGAATCAGTTTTACTCGATCGTCACAACTTCGTTCCTATCGGGTGTCCCACGACACCACACGGCTTTTTTTAAATAATGATACTATCAGCTATCATAGAATTAAATTACGTATATTATGCACCACATTATTTACACACGTTGTATGTTGAAATGCATGTGTCTATTCTCAGCGTCCTCAATTTCCTGTCATCAACAGCCTTTAATAGTTCACTACTAGCCACAAGCCTCTCCTTACAAAGGAGGTTTAGACAATTCTAACGACAACTCAACCGCAGAATCCAGCAAGTTCTTTAGGCTACAGAACCTGCCACAGTAATATATATATATCATCGATAAACAAATCTGGTTCTAGCGTAGTTTGGTAAAAAATGATTATCACGTATAGGTAAAGATACATAATCACATAAGCAGCCTGCTGGACATAGGCATCTCCTTAGAAAGGAGGTTTTACTACTATATCACGCTGGCCAGAC